ACTATCATTTAGACTTAATTTTAATATTTAATATTTTAGATATACACATGTACATGTAACTATATCAGGAGTACATGTATATGTCTGAACAAAGACACATAGCCAGACTGAGGTGTGCAAACAACTGATACCAGGCTCTTTCTGGCTGGAGATGAGGCTAGATGTACATGTACATGTATAAGTTAATAACAAAACTATGTCTATACACTTACTAAAAGGTCCTGCAGCTATTCCAACCATGGTACAGGAACCAACACCTTCACTTGACATAGTTACGATCTTGCCGGCAGATAAATTGTTTTGCCGGCAATCCGCTATCCATTCCTCTTCTTGCCCCAGACGATGCAAAATTAAAGAGTGTTCTGAGTGCTTTAACTTCTGGTACGCTCTTAAAAATGCTCTTCCATTTATATACACAAGTGAAGTAGGTGTTTTTGTAACATCCATGACCAAATCTTTTAAGTAGTTTTCCAAATTTGCTACACTGTCCACATGCGTTGCACCTGTTAAAAACAAATGCATCACTTTGAAATAAAACTAAAATAAACAGTATTCATTAACTTCCAACTTTCCTACAATAACCAGAAAGTGCATTCAACGAAGCTTTAATATGAGACTTATTAAAATGGAGGATTTATTATGGTAGTAGAACTTTAGAAACAGGAACCAAAGCCCATATTACAAGCAGAGTTGTTATAATTATTTTGAGTCATTAATCATTATGATTACAATTACTTGATGATTGGCAATGTAATCATTTGAATTATAATTAGTTTTAGCTAGTTACTAAATCAATCATTAGAATTAAATGACTTTAAATGATTTGTAACTGAATTAGTAATTTAATTAGACAGCAGTTATTTTATGAAGGTTATTGAGTAAGAGGATAACTGTCAATATGTCAAGTCACATGCATCAATGCAGAAAGAGAAGAGACTGTGATTATGCCTGATGCTTCACTATTTATTCCTTAAACGAGAAGGTGCGGTATAAAAGGCGGGGCCCTGGGCATGGTGGCTTCCGTTTTATTCACGTGTAAAAATGTCGGCTCTAGATGGTGTTGCTTCTTCAAGGAAAAACGCAGGAAGAAAGGGGTTTTGGTACCAAATGGACTTCCATTTTACTCTCAAAGAAGACAAGGACCAGTTCTAGTTAGGCTTGATCGAGTTAAGGGGTCTTTAGGCACTAAAAAAAGGCGCTGGAACTGCTGTCTCATTTACTCGCCGATTTAGTTTAAAAAGAGAATCATTCTGAGGCTCTATCACATGATACTAGTAGTTCTTCTGCTATGCTCAATACTTCAGGTAGTTATAATGTGTTTAAATTAGTGATTATATATAAATTTAGGTATGGGTGATGGGGACGAAGAGCAGCCATTTTGTGCATAGATATAGAATCGGCTGTTGGGAAACATACACTAGTGTTAGTGTGGTATGGTTGACCGAAGGATGATCAGTTACAGACAGGTATTTTTTGTTAGTATTATTATTATTATTACTATTATTATCAACATCATCAAAACTATTCATAATTTTAGATCGTCATGTGATTTGTGCTGAATTTCGATTCAATGCCAGTCGTGAGTCCTGTAATCGTAACTCAAGTTTATTAGTTACTAGATACAGAAGTAAGTATTATTTGTAATGTAAAGTAATCATATGGTGGCATTAATATTTTTAGGCTCGTACTAGCATTTTTCTTGTACTGGTATATTACCATCACAGTACTACCATATTTTTGTCGGCATCATTGGGCACAGTTGGGAAGAGGTACACAGATACAGGAGGCTCCTCAACATCCCAATATCTATTCAACCCTATATACATAATGTTTATATTTTTAAAAATTTAGAATAATATTTTTGTATTTACTTCTTCCAGTAGATCGTTGAATGTTACAACTGCTACCAGTACTAGGATCTGAATGAGGACCATGTTGGGGTCTTTTGCTGGAACCACTTATACTTGATGATGGTGGCTGATATATGGTAGTCGGCAGGGCTGTCTGGTCCCAGTGGTGGCGGTTCTTGGGCTGGTTTTCTGTGTAGTAGTGAGGGCTATTCCCTTGCCACTATCACTTATTACCTGCCTGACAGCATCATTGCCCGTGTTTCTTAGGCTGTTGGCAGATTTTTCAGAATATACAATATAATATTTGATAATAATGTAAAATTATTACTTCAAGTCAATTATACCATTTCTCTCCTTGCTATGCTTTCTAGGTGTGCTTGTAGGTTAACTCTCTCACCTTTGCTAATTTTAATGTTTTTATAATGCGTTTTGCTAGTGATTTAGCCATGATAAGAACAGTGCCAGTGCGGGAGCCATTTTGTTATTTTCAAATTTCATTCAATCTGGCCGCCATATTGTGCCCAGGGCACCTCCTTTTATACTGTGATCGACGGAAGCGATTTCATGACGTTGCGTGAATGGTTTTATAGTGCACCTTCTTGTTTAAACGAGCATGCGCAGTATAAAAGGGGGGTGGTCTGCCCAAAAATGGAAGCAAATATTCAAAATGGCTATTACACATGATAAAGATCTTGATAACATCAGTTGATTTACATAGTAACAGTAAAAGGAAGAGGCTACAATTGCCTGACCTCTTATTTCCACATATTTCTTGTTCTTATCTTCTGACTAAATCACGGTTAAGTTGTTTATAGCGAGTCATAGTGAAACAGGCCGAGCTTTAGCCTCGGGACGATCAAGGCCGGGCCGGACTCATTCAGGATGACTTTTAACATCGAGTTTGAGTCTGCCGAAGAGAAAGGTGCCTTTAGTCATCATTTAGAAGATTTTCAATCCTTGCTATTTAAGAACAAGCTAGATAGCTTTGGTCTGTTGACAGCCATGTTTAATTTTATAGTTTTAGTTAAAGCTGCATGATGCATGGCTCTTTTGAGTCTCTGCTGGTATAGGGAGTTAGTAAAACTGTCTGTACTCTTCTAAGAGTCTTTTTTAGATCTTGTGGATGCCTGTGGTGCTTGTATTCTGTGATTCTTCACTGCCCATTTTTAATTACATTCTAAAGCCACCCGCCATTTTTAATTGACTGGGCAGCCCACCCCCGTTTTATACCCGTGCTCATGCTCGGTGCTGTAGCAATGATCACGTAAGGTGGAGCAGTGGTTATATTCTGCACATGCTCGTTTAAGTGCAAAAGGTCCAATGGACCTTTTGCACCTTTAAGCATGCAGAAAGTATGTTTAGCTGATTATCTCTGTAGTTGTTCATTCAATATTAGTACTTTTATTTTTCAAAACAAGTAATTGTGCATGCCTACCTGCTGATACCAGACAACAGTCAGAATTGCACTGCTAACATACTTGAAAAAAATCATTGATCATTATGCAACTTGTGTATTGCTACATCTCTGATCTTTGGAGTGGATCATGTCAAAGGACCTTGCCTCATGAACTGCTTCATATTGCATGCCTTTGCTGCATATATAGTAGTAACAAATAATTATATTTAAAAATATTTTTTGGCAATTTAAATCAAAAAAATAACATACAAGAATACAACTGACAATGTATGGTACAACAATAATTCATTTGCACTTTTATGCTGCGTGTTGCTTACTGAAGGTCATTTGCTGCACAGTGCCAAATATTCCATTTGAACAATAATAATTATAAAAAAACACAATAATTTAATAAATCAGTTTTTAGTCTTAGTGTTGTCTTGATGCCTTTGTCCTAAAACCACAGAAAAGAAACATAACAAGGGAAATATGTACTGGAGCTTACTTGAATTATGTAAGACTCATTATGTGATGACATCAGTAGTACCTTGGTCCATTGCAAGATAGAGGTACATTGCAAGATTGAGGCACTGAAGAAAGAAAAAGGGTAGAAAGAAAGAGAGGTGCATAGCAATGAATTGTAATGATAATTCAAATTTATTAGAAAAGTAATGATTTTCAGTAATGGTAATGGCTGTGATAATTTGTTTATTTGAGACATAGTGGCAATGGCATTCATGCACATGTATATGTACCTGTGCTTTACTCAATTAATTGAATCAGTGTCATACATGTAGGTCTGTGACAATTATCATTACAATTACCCAGGAATCCATTGACTTAAATACATGTACATTACATATCACTTACCATCATTATGCTTCAGCCAATGCAACACAGCATTAATGTTACTTTGTTGGACATATCCTAAATAATCAAATGTACATAGATTCAATAAGACACTATACTCCCTCTCACTCTCAGTACATGCACTGTACACAAGAGCAATATAGTGTGCATTGTGTCTTACTGTTACAATTTCTTTAGCATTTTATTTGCATTCCTGTTCCCACATTGCAGCAAGTGACAATGTCTGTAATATACCAATGTACTATAAAATAATAATAATAATAATAATAACAACAATGTTTGTATACATTAATGTATGTGTATGGTATTTTACAGTTGCTTACTGATACTAAAACTGTGTTAACACAAGAAAGAGAGAAGACATGTGAGAGGCCTAGCAAAGGAACGAGAAAGAGCAAAAGTTAGACACATGCGTACGTGTGTATGAGGAGGAGAGAAAGGCTTTGGAGAGAAAAGAGACAAAGATGCACAAGGACAGGAGTCAAGGAACACAAACATGAGAAGACAGAAATATGCAATACCTATTAACAATACATACATGCATTGGGAAAGAGAAGAATTGTTTATTATAAACCAATATAACATTGCCAATAATGCTTAGAGTCAGGGTTCCTCAACAGATTTGACATAGTGCTGATACAGGTTCTTGTCAATGGATTGTCAAATTGCTCAAAAATTGAGCCAAACACCCTGTACTATATACAGGGACACTGATCAAATTTAATCAAAAATGACAAGGAGAGAATTCTTCAATTTTTATTATGTTTTCTGATGCATACACATGTACTTATGTTGCATAGAAAATTTGAGCCAATTGAGATAAAATTTAGATTTTATCAATTTTTAAATTTGCTCAAAAATTGAGCGAAACATTTCGTAGTATTATAGTACAAAGGGAAATTTGAGTCAAGTACTTCCAAATTTCTCTATTACATGCATACATGTACAGCAACATTCACCAAATTTCATCAAAAATACAAAGAGGGAATTTTATCAATTTTACAATGTTTTCTGATACACATACATGTACTTATGTTGCGTAGAAACTTTGAGCTGATTCCATTCAAAATTAAATTTTTAAAGTTATTGCAAATGTCATGTACTGCGCTGTGGTGCTAGTTGGCTCACAAAGCTTATGCTGTTTAGCTTACTTAGCATACTTTGTGGGAAACCCTGTTTAGACTACATGATTGATAACTGTGGAACCTCAAGGACATACGTGTATTGTATATCAAGCCTAAGATAATTCGCAAAAAACTTCATATTGTTTACAATTATAATTACTGCCATAGACAAGGTACTATGAGAATACAATTCTAATAACATTCCTATGCACTGCTGATAGACATGCAATACAAAAACTCAAACTACATGTGTGTATCACAACATTGTAAAAACAAACTTACATTTTTCAATTTTTGCTACTCAATGAACATTAATTGGCAAGGCCTAGATATTTTTCCCAGCTAAAAATTCACTTCATACAGGCACAAGATTATAGGCAAAGCTATACTGATACAGGTACAGTTACACTGTATCAGACCCAAGCAATATTACAATTACTGTACTGAGGTCAAAACAATAAGATGTTTGCCAGGGATCTCATAAAAAGTCATTAGGATTTCTGCATGTAGATAGACCCCACTCTGTATTAAGCATGGCAATTCATGCCGCAATGGGTTCGAAGATTCAGAAATTAATGTAATTAATTCATGAATACTATTAAACAATCATCTACACGTACGTTACTATTATTTGGATTACCAAAAAATGAAAGTGCCAATGGTACGATGCAGTATTTATACAGTAACCCAATTATGAACCCCAATGTCAGGCAATTTTATTAAACTCAGCAGAATCATTATGCGATGACAGACATTATGCAACTAAAGGGTAATATCTACTTACCTATGACTGAGCTGCCTAATGCAAAGACGATGACAGGAGCCTGTGAGTGTGAGCTGTGTGAGTATATGAGTATATCAGGAGCTGGTTTCAGCAGACATTTTGCTTTAATAACCATTATTACTATTTGCCCTGCCTACTTTTTCTATTGATAACAAGCCTCCACAATAATAGCCTTGGACAAATTCCAGGAAATACTCGACCTATCTCCGGACAACTGACTGGTTAATAAATGTGAAGCGGGTGCTCACTTCCACCCAAGGGAGTGGCTCATGCCTGAGGCTGAGGTGCTGCGAGGTCCCAATTTTTATTATGGATAGTGCAGTAAAGACAATCAGTTTCTCTCTTAATGGAAAGGAGGTGGAATTAAATAGTCCCAGTTCTCAAGCAAGCCTAAATGATTGGATAAGATCACAGCCTGGACTCACTGGGACAAAGAAAATGTGTGGTGAGGGTGGCTGTGGGTGTTGTGTAGTATCTCTCACCAAGACTGACCTTTTAACCAAAAAACAAGTCACAATAGCTATTAATTCTGTAAGAAAAGCACCTATTTTTATAATTATATTAGATTATTATTTTTATTATGCTACTAGTGCTTGTGCCCTTTGTATTCCATTAATGGATGTTCAGTTACTACAGTTGAAGGAATTGGAAGGTAACCATATTTTATAGAGCTGTTGCATGGAAGTAATCAACAGGAGGGTGTGGCTAAAATTGAGCTAAATTGTCCGCCATGTTGGGTGGCAAGAAGGCCAAGAATGAATGGGGGAATGGAGAAAAAAATCAAATTCTGCAGTTGACATTCCAGGCTAATGCAAGGTAGAAGATGAAGATATTGAGTAAAGAAGTCTCATAATATTCTGCAGCGAAGTATGATATCTCTCTGATGAAAAATCGCAGTTTGTTTCCATTCCTCCATTTGTTGTGTGTACATTCTTGCCACTCAAGATGGCCGACAAGAATTTCCGCCTACCCCATTGATTACATCCGTGCAACAGCTCTATACATGTAGAAATTAGAAATTCCACACTCTGCATTACTTACTGTATCTTTTTAAATTCCTTCCTTACTGTCTTCCTCTCTCCCTAGCTCAAGGAACAGGTTTTCATCCCTTACAGAAGAAGATTGCCGAATTAAATGGTACACCAATGTGGTTACTGCACACCTGGTATGGTCATG